TGCTATAATAGTTCGACAATAGATAATGTAAAGTGAATAATTTGAAATTTTCATTCCAATTACTCTATTGCGAGAGAAGATATTAGCCTTTGAAGGTTTGACAAGACGTTGCAATAATTGCAGCCATTAAAATATGGCTGAACCGTTCTAATCTATTTAATATCTGAGAAATCCGAAGCAATCGAGAGTTGATTATGGCCTTGGATCAGTTAATTATGGCCTTGGATCAGTTAATTAATGTCTAATTAATAATTTAGAAAACATTTCAGGCCTAAAGGAAGTCCTGCAATAGGGAGATATAGCCCTTGCATAATGTATGTTTAATGTCTACATCTACCATTTATGGAATATAAATTTGGTATTTTTATGTGATCAACATCTTTTTCCATATCTTTAAAAAAATTTTGGTATTTCTATGTGATCAATATCTTTTTTTTCCATATCTACAAAAATTATTGTTAAAGTAGCTAAGTCTCTAACTCAATATCATCAAAATCTTCGACATTGAAAACACGAATTATTTGTCAATTCAAATCAGCATTGGTCTTGTGATCTTACAAGGAATAGATGAGCTTCTGATATCCAATATTCAAGACAAAAGAAACATTTTACCATTGGTACATTTGCCATTTGGCACAAGGGACTCGAAGACCGAGGCTAGACATATTCCACAAGTCATGTCAATGCTATATTCTTATATGGAGAGCATGCGCAATAAATACCATCGGTTTAGACTGGAATAACCAGACGCTAAAGATCGTCATTCAATTGAAACTTTGGCGCATTTCGCCGAACATAACTGATTAGAAATTACGGTAAAAACAGAAACGATTGAATGTAAATCAGTTTATATACATTCACATTACCTTATTATATTCGTTGCGACCCATTTCTGTCAATTTCTAGGTCCCATAAATATTAGCGATTTAGCTCCTTTAACGTTTTTTATAGTTACTGCTGATGTATTAATGTTATAGTAAATCAATGTCCGAATATAGGTATTTCTTATTGCAACAAATTTCCCCCGTTTGATAAGCTAATCCCAATTGACGTTTGGTGTGTGATTGATGCAATTTGAGAACATTATTGATAAAACTGCTATTTACTCTCAAAAATGACCAAGTATGAAATACACTAAAATGAACACATTGCATGTATAAACTAGGATGATAATTAACAATTAATTTATTTCTTACAGGTTTTGGGGATATACGGTAACTCGAATGATTTAGTATTTTAGATAATATTATTCACAGGGATATTAACGCTCAGAAATTTGCTTCCTAAACATTTTTTGTGTGGTTTTTATTTTCAAAATAATGGAATATTGAATGATTAAGTATTTTAGATAATATTTTTCATCCATTTCGGGGTCCTCGAGGATGCGTCGTATTTCGACGTCTAATTCAGAAACTTTTCTCACAGAGGGTGGCTGTAATATCTGGGGTTTAGGTGTTTGCAAATTTTCCAGCAAACTCTCGGGTACTAGAGCCATCTTTTTAGTAAATTCCATTACAACCCGAATATTTTAGGTACCACACTCCCTAGAATCCCTACCAGAGGTGCTAGCAAGCTACCAAGAAATCCACCCCCTCTGCAGGATTTTTTTCTTCTGTTTCAGGGCGATTTTAAGGTCCGCTAAATGTCTCAGACTACGTTTGTGTTTCGACAATCGTTTCTTGTGGTATGCCGAGAGTCGAACTCTCCCTTTCAAGATGTTAAGACAACACTCACACAATGCGTCAATGACTGGTTTACTTGCGTTTTTAATAATATGTATTCGCTGTCTTGGTTTGGCCCGCTTGAGTGCTTGTAATAGCTTGGCGTGACGATCTAGAACATACATTATCTATTTTCGGACAACTGTGTGTAGGTACAGTCGAAAATCAATTGCTTTTATACCTTTGGTACGTACACCGTGGGGTTATCCCTAGGGAAAATACTACTCCGAAGTCTCAAAAGGTCGGGGGTTGTACTCTTCAAATCGAGAAATAAATACGAATAGGGTTTCCTTGTAGCGTCCTCGTAACTTTCACGAACAAAATTAGTTTTCCCAGGGTACATCTGCTTGGCTAATTGCGTTATAGCAGACATGTCTCGAGGGTTCTTAAATATAATCATGTAATGGGCATTGAGACTGATCGTCCTGTGATGTTTACCTTTATGAAACAGATTTTGAACAATATAAATGACGGAAGTATTTTCGTGGTGACTTCCGCGGGTAAAGAGTTTTGATACTTTGTCCGTTGTCTCGTCCATCAAATCATCAATGATCAATAGTGTTCTTTCCTTGGGGTTTAGACTAGCGGATAACCCTTCGACAAATTCTACGATACCCGCTAATTCTTCGTACAAAGGTTGCCAAACACCGTAACAACACACGATACGATCTATGGGTTGATCGACAACTTGTGGTAGTTCTAGAATCAAGCGCCTGACCAATTGACTCTTACCCGATTGTGTGGGACCTGATATCATACATGTAAATGGGGTCTTTAGCCTTACATCCATTTCGTTAGCCGGGGTAAAAATAACTAATTCCATTTAAAAATGTTTAATCTTTTATTATATCAAAGTACAAATGTAATACATATAGAAAATGAAAATTATAATCATAAAAAAAAAAAAAAAAAAAGTTATTTAGTCAACGTGTGAACACATTCTAGGATTTGAGGTTTCCAATACAACGTTGCGTGTAGAAACAACTCTTCGCTCTGATCGCGAATCTCTGGGACGAATCGTGCTATCTGTAAAAAACGATCTTTGTTCAACTCTAGAAAACAGGATTCGAAGTACAAGTCCACAAAGTTGATTTCATCGAACCAATAGTTGATCCCCAGGCATGTATGTTCAAGCTGCCCTCCACGACCATTGAGACAGCCTTCACAGCGACCGGTTACACTTTTTGAAATCTCCGTGTTGATCATGTCTCCCAATATTTGCACAACTAACGTACGTATATTTTCGGCAGGACAGTAATGATCGTCATTGACATGCATAGGTTTTGAGCACATGGTGCACGGTACGAGGTGTGTAACGTGTTCCTCCGCATCTACAAGATCCTCGTGGAAAATGAGTTGATTTTCGGCGTAGACCCCTTCTACGCGTACTTCCGTGCTGTAGCAATCAGGCTGGTCCCATCCTTCATTGTTTGCTGCAGAAACACAATCCTCTGGAGTATTGTGCCACGCCTGTCCAGATTTTAACAAACTCCAATCCTTTACCCCGAGACCCGACTTGGCAGGCGAACAACCATACACATGATAACGGCCGCGCTTGAACGATCTTGTAACTCGAGACACGCCTGTTAGGTCGGAAAAGGTTTTTTCGGGTATCACCAATTGTCTACCATTTTTTCTCTCCAGAACCATTTGGCGGGCGGTTCCCAGTTCACAGCTTAACTCACTGTTGATGGCAAATTTGGTAGGTTTTGTACAGGATAAATATCTTTTGAAACGATCAACAACCCGACTCCATTCTTTTAATGTCATCTTAAAAACCATTTTACGCTTCAACCCTAAATAACCAGCCTTCAGTAATATTTCAGGGGTTGTATTATCATTGTCCCCTAAACTCAATGTCAAACCGACTGAAACATCTGATATCTTGGGTGAAGCCATGTTGTTTCGTATGATAACTCAATAGTTAGGCATCTATTTATATATATATATACAACTCGTTATATTATTGGTTCGCACAGACCGCCCAATAAAAAATACGTTGGACAGAAATTATACACAAGTCTCCGCCTTTGCTAAGCCTACTACACCTAGGGGTGGTTCCTCACCCGTAAAATTATTTTCACACAACTCTTTGAAGCTAACTTTCAATGCCTCCCATTGTTTCACGTTTAAATGAACACCCTTTCGGGTAGGTTTTGGCATTCGTTCCTCTTCACACCACCAAAATTTACGAATGTTGACTCCAGGGTATTTGTTGTCGATCGTTACGTACACGTCATTACCAATAGGCACTGATTTCTTTACAATGTTTTTTTGTAAATACTCATCTATCTCTGAGGACGTGTTCATCAATGTCTGCCATTGCCGCTCGAAAAACATGATACCATTGGGTGTTGGATATCTATCACTCTTAAAACCGTAACCATACAGTCTGATGTGATAACACACATCTTCTTGCCAAATACATTTTACAACCAAATAATCATTTCCAATATCCTTTCGATACAGGTCGATACTCATGATGTTAATCTCTTGTTTTCAACTTCATAAAACAATTCTACATTTGAACGTGTAATCAACCCCCTTTTATACCTAGATTTTCGAAACTTAAAACCAAAATTTAACTACACCCTGTCACAAATATGTAGATTAAAACTATTGGCTTAGAACAAAATCGACAAAATCACCTGTCAAGCTTAATGGCGGAGGTCATTGTCCCTTAATACAGGTATAGCTACACTTGGCGTGAACTCAATGTAACCTCTACACACCTGCCTATAAAGCGAAATATCTTCCCCCCCTACCCTCCAATAAACAATTCGTGCACCCCATACCCTCGTTACAAAAGTCAAACACGATCAAAGAATATAACACCTGCATACCTTTTTTATTATTCATAACCTCATTGTTCAGTCAACAATAACCATATTCAACCTATAAATAGAACACCTGTGGAATGCTCTGACGTCAGACCTTAGGAATGTGTGACGTCAGACCTTTGGAATGTCTGGAATTCCAAAATTGCTCCAGACTACCCTCTCTACTACTCACCCCCCTGTTTAAATCCTATCCACATATGTATATAAATGTTATATATTTTGTTGATGTAAATATATTATTTTTTCTACACTGTATCTATGTACGGTTTGTGAAATAAAGAATATCTATATATCTATCTGAAGAATTCCGAGGATCACCCCGGGATCCCCTGGTTAGTAAGCCGACTCCTTATTCACTGACCAACCGAGTCCCCCTTCTAAATAGAAATAATAAATTATAAAACGGAAAAATGATCATCGTGCACATAATCGGGGTTACCTAAGTTGATGACTTTTCTACAATAGACAACCATGGTTTGTCCAGTGGTTTGCAATATCCATATCCAATCAGCTTTTCCAACCAAGGATGCGGGTTTAGAATTCCATGGATCATTAACAGGAACAACAGCAACACTCCACGCACTGTCATCAAATCTGTAACAAATGCAAGATACGAATGTTTCAAGGATTTTGCCTTCTTTACATTTAGCTCTATAGCAACCTGTGAATCGCTACATATATTCTTAATCTGCTTACAAACATTTTTGTTTGTCTAATTTTAACGCACTTTATGCATGCAGTCAGGATACAACAAAATAAAGTACCAACAAACCAGTGGTTGTTGTGGTCTTTCTAATTCATCAATATTTTATCAAAATATTTAGTTTTGTATATTTTGAAAAATATCACTTACTCAAATAGTATGTATGGTGTAAATCCGCATATTTATCAGGTCTGTGCTTTTATGGGGGGGGGGGGCTTCAAATGTTATATAAATTATTAATTAGAAATTACTGCACATGGAAAATCCATAATCAATGGATGGACAAGATATTGATGACAACCGTGCCATTAAATAATTGTTTATTACCGAAGCAAAGCTGCTTGGCATTCGGAATTAAATTATTAAGTATCAAGTACTGTAACGTGGCCCAGAATAAAGTAATTTGACTGAAATATTGAATATATTCAGTTTTCATTATTTAAACTATACTAGCAAGAACGGTCACCTTTTGGTTTAAATCTTATAATAAAATGCTTCAATGTTGCTTTACAACAAGTATCACTAGGTATTTCAGAATTAGGCTGCAGAGCCATGTATCTTATAAGATAATTAAACATACATTATGCAAGAGCTAAATCTGCCTATTTAAGGTCTTTCTTTAGGCCCGAAATGTTATCTAAATTATTAATTAGTCATTAATTAATTTATTCAGACCATGATCAACTCTCGGATCAGAATGGATCAAATTGACTGAAATGTTCAGCAAATTCCCTTTACATTATCTAGTTTTTAACTATTATAGTGAGAACTGCCAGCCCTTTACCTAATCTCCCATAGTGTATCTTTAAGTATTCCGGAAAAGGGCTGTATAACTAACATTAAAGCATCCATTACCCGATTTGATTCCATCCAGCTTCAAATGTATCTGAACATTTCCAGGAAACATCTGTCTTAATGCCGTTATCCAATGCTGCTTTAATTCCCCCAGCGTCTCCCGTATCTTGGCATTTTATAGCCACAACCGTGGTATTGTCCGGAATATTGATGGGCGACGACTCCCACCAGTTAACACTCTCAGCATATTGAACGCCATCCGCATAAAATAACATTTGGTTATCACACGTGGCATTCCCACTGATAAATAACTCAGCTGCAAAAAAAAAAAATAGGTTTTAAAGTCCTACTTTTCTACACCGACCGTGCTAATGAAGATGGGAATATTTATTTTTCTTGGTGGTTTTGCTTTAAAACATGTTTACATTTCCATTCCGTTTTAATTATTTATAACGCAATCGGTGTCTTTAATGCCACCGATCGCCTGTAGTTGTGTAATTTCATAAATATAATTTTATATAGTAAGTTTTCAATAGTAATAATTTCATAAATATAATGTTTTCCAAAGAAATGGCTAACACAGAATAAGTAACTTCATAAATATAAAATTTTCTATAGTTATAAATTAAAGTAGCAAAGTCTCTAAGTCAATATTACCCAAAGTCTTCGAATTAATTGAATTAATTGTCAATTTAAATCAACATTAATGTTGTGATCTTACCGGGAAGAGACGGGCTTCTGATATCTAATATTTAAGACAAAATAAACATTTTACCATGGGCACACGAATCATGTCAAACGGTGACGCCAAGTTCTTATCTGGAGAGCATGCCCAATAAATACCCTCGGTGTAGACTGGAATAACCAGACGCTAGAGATAGCCATTCGATTGAGACTTCTGTCGTATTTCGCCGAAACTGATTTGAAATTAGGGTAAAAACAGGAAACGATTGAATGTAAATCGGTGTATATACATTAATATGACATTAATATATGCGTTGCGACCCATTTTGTCAATTTCTAGGTCCCGAATAAGCAAGTGTTTATCGTGTTGTATAATATCTTTTGTTAGACCTACATATGTGTTATACATCATATTTTATTAAAAAGAGAGAGAGAGAGAGAAATGGGGTTTAACGTCCACTCGACACAAACCAGGTCATTTCGGGACTAACACATGGTTCAATTTTATTTCCATAATTCGCTTGCGCATAGGGGTCTTTAGCAGTGGGAGGAAACCGGAGGACCCGGAGAAAACCCACGAAGTTGGACAGGCGACCCTACTCCTTGTCACGTACAACCGGGGATTCGAAACCACGCCAGTTGACTCAATGACAGACTTTATAATACAGCACTCACGTGCTAACCATTCAGCCATCCAATCCCCGTATTTTATTAAAGAATATTATTAAAAGGTATTATTTTAATATACAATTTACTATTCTATTTTTCATAGGATTTATCTTTAAGTATTTTGTGAGTTAGATACAAATAATTACCCCCCTTTCTTTTACCTGACTTTTCCTGTAATAGATACTGAACGTATCCAGTAGAGATGATTCCTTTGTTCTGTAAAGACATGTTTCGTGTCGTTTTCATTGTACCCATTTTTTTATGGTTTCTACATATCATGTTATTATTAATATGTCTATATTTGGAACCTTGTTGGGTAATATTTAAAATCGATAAATCGATTATTCTGTTTAAAGATAGTTCCGCTGTACAAACTGGGTGATTTGATGATGTATTTGGAATAAAAACATATTCAAACTAATTAATCTGTCAAAAATTTGCTTCAAATCCTTCTCAGAACACTGTTTACGCGAGGGAATACCCCGGCTATACAAAATCTTTTACAATAGGTCATGTTTGTGTCATGTCACGTAGCTGACTAACTATCTAGCAATGGGTGCCAAGTATTCATTGCATACACACGACGATGTTGTCTTTAATCGCTATCCATTTATCATAAATATCGAAGCCTAATTAAATTCTCAGATTATCCACTAGCCACGTCTTTTTTCGTGATTTTTATCTCAGAAAGTGTTGTACGTATAACTCTTCCTTAAGTTTATCAACATGTACATCTAGCGCTCAATCTCCGCAACCTTTGACGTCACACGAGCAGACATTCCTAATCTTCGGGCTGTCGATTACATTTTCGTCCTGTATGCGCTCCATGAGTGTTTTTCAGGGAATCCAGTACATTTTCTAGTAAGATTCGATATGTCTTCCTTCTATATATAACAAAATTGCCATACTTTTATTGAAAATAACCACCCGATAAATACTCTTCGGGGAACGCATCTTTAACTTATCACATGTTGATTCGTAACAGAAATCAGATAAATCGATTATTCTATTTTCTGTTCGTTTAATTTATCACAAACAACTTATAAGTTCTCCATAATGATGCATATATTTAAAGAAGCTTTTAATGGAAAGTCTCTTCAATTTTTTTTCAGTGAATTTGTAATTTCATATAAATGAACAACTTCACTGACGGATCTAATGGAGAGGCGCACGCTCGCCCCCTCTCCCCATCTGGAACCAGGGGGTACACAGGTAGACGCACGATTTACATACAATCCCATCTTCGATTTAAACCAGTAGTTCTTGTTGAGGAGCCCCCGTCGTGCGCTTCGCGCCTTTGGGTTCCCAGCGCGAGGCTTCGCTGGCCCTGCCAACACCCCCCTCCCCCTATCCATTGTCTCTGGATCGAATGAGTTGAAGATTTTAAAACCTCTATAAATGTAGGCCTGATGATTATATATATGTATTATTTTTTAACCATTTAGTCACATGTCAAAACCATAATCAACACTCTAAACCATTCAGTGGCTCATATATTGAATGGATTAGACTATCCGCCATACAATTGGCCAATGTTAAAATATACGTCACTCAATAACATGACCGACGATCTAGACATCCCTTTATTTTCTTGTCAAAACTTCAAACACTCATAACTTCGTTCAGAATATGGTAATTTGACTGAAACTTCTATTAGAAGGAACAACCAGCCCTTTAACTAAACCTTACATAACGTGAATGTACAGCTTTCCATGTCAATGAATAGGTAAACAATGAATTCTTATTAAATAATTCTGCCAACCATATCAGTTAGGTACATGAATACACGAAAATGGGAAATTAAAACAAAAATGCATTTGCTGTGATCGATCAACTTGAATGTTCCGGATGGGGAAAGATACAGAAAAACAGTTATTGTTAGGCCTACATGTTGAAGTAATAGAGTAAACGGTACATAATCGACGTCCATCTCTCTCTCTCTCTCTTTCTCTCTCTCTGACTGACTGACGAACGTGTTCTAAAATGTCCGAAAACAATTTATTTTGAGAAGCACAAGCAAGTAGGCATTATATGAAAATGTAATAAAAAGGGATTTAATGTTATGCACCGACCACCAGACTCGTGCACTGGGGAACATTACTGTAGCAGATAACTAGAGCACCTCTTATATCAACCAAAAACAAATAAATCTCGAATACGAGGAACTGAAATACAATTTCATGGGGCATCTGAGCTATTCAAACTTTACCGGGGCACAAACAAATTAAACAAATTTCTAATACATGGAGCTGTGTTAAACATTCAAACTTTACCGGGGCACAAACAAATTAAACAAATTTCGGATACATGGAGCTATGTTAAACATTGTTTTGGCGCGAATATAAAACTTTTTTAAAAAAAACATTATTGAATCAAATTGAATGAAATACAGAGGTTTCGTCATCCGAAACAAAACCTAGGCTTATTTTTAGCATTATTGAATCCAATGTAGCATAGTTTGATTTGCGACACGTCACATAGTTTAATTACCGGTACATACAATATTTCATTGAATTCGTCATCCTAAACAAAACGGGTGGTTGGATGGCTGAATGGTTAGCATGTGCGCGCTGTATCATAAAGTCTGTCATTGAGTCAACTGGCGGGGTTTCGATTCCCAGGTTGTACGTGACAAGGAGTAGGGTCGCCTGTCCAACCTCGTGGGTTTTCCCCTATGCGCAAGCGAATTATGTAAATAAAATTGAACCATAGGTTAGTCCCGAAATGACCTAGTTTGTGTCGAGTGGACGTTAAACCCCATCTCTCTCCCTCTCTCTCTCTCTCTCTCCTAAACAAAACCAAGGCTTATTTTTAGCATTATTGAATTCAATAATGTAGCATCTAGTTTGATTTAGGACACTTCACATATTATATAATTACTGATACATACAAAATTTATTGGCAACATTTCTGCGAAACAATCATTAGAAACAAAGTAAACAAATGGTTTTTGTGTAAAGTTGTATAACTCTAACAGAACATAGGGGTCAGACCACGATCAAATTTCACCATTTCGGTGATATTTTGAATATTTTTGATGTGACTTGTTTGAAACTCATTAAATCCTTTTTCAGAACTCACATTTTGATAAAATTAAGAAAGAATCTTCAATTCTAGAACAAAAGGCCCATGGACCTGAACTGCAACCCGGTATACAAAACAGTACATACATAACTTTAAAGGTTCACCATTTCCGCAGTAATTTTTTTTTATTCTGTATTATAATAATATTGTAAAAATAAATGTAAAGCTATAAAAAAAACGATTTAGGACACTTCACATATTATATAATCTAAAATCTTCGACATTGAAAACACGATTTTTTTTGCAATTTAAATCAGCATTGGTGTTGTGATCTTACCTGGAAAAGATGGGCTTCTGATATCCAATATTTAAGACAAAATAAACATTTTACCATTGGTACACGAATCGTGTACCATAATGCGTTTCAGCGCCATTTGTTACAAGGTGCTCAAAGAATGATGCTAGACATATTCCACAAGTCATGTCAAACGGTGATATCATATTCTTATTTGGAGAGCATGCGCAATAAATAATATCGGTGTTGACTGGAATAACCAGACGCTAGAAACTGACTTGCGGTTGAGACTTCTGGCGTATTCCGCCGAACATAACTGATGACAATTCACAGTAAAACGGAACGATTGAATGTAAATCAGTTTATATAATTCATATTACATTATTATGTGCTGCGACTCATTTGTGTCAATTTCTATTTCCAAAATATTAGCGATTTAGCTCCTTTAAGTTATTTATTATTCATCTATTTTTAAGTAGATGCTGACCAATGTCCGGCCCTGTACACAAAACTAAATAATGCCTGATATACTTAATTTATGTATTCTTACCTTGTTCGAAAGAAAATATCAACAAAATAATGAGTGAGATACTCCAGCCCATTGTCTGAAAAATAAATGAAAGATTTATCAACCGCTTCTTCCAAGTAACAATAACAGACGTAGCTGTGTTCTATTAAAAATCAATCGTTATGAGTATATATTAAAATCAATAATTGATCAAAGTTGACTGGATCCTGAAAGTCGGAAATCGATATATGAATCTCTTCCAAACTAAAATATCTTAAAAATTGAATACCTAATATATTTTAAGATGTTCTTGAATTAATGCCAAAATGTTGGGTATTTGTGCCAGGTCAGAACCAAATACCACATCCCTTCGGGGAAGATCATTCATTTCACTGAGCATCAGCTACCTGTCTTCAGCCATATATCGGCCTCTTTAACATTAGAGACCTGCTTCATAAATTTAAAAAAGCAAATTATTCTAACATAACACATGTTACTTAAGACCTGTTCGTCTGCCTTGTATTTAACATGCGGGTGTGAATGTTATGTCCAATAATAATATTAACCTGAAGTGCTTAATCCATCTAAGGTGCACGCTCTAAGCTCAGGTAAGTCAAAGGTCATCGTGGATAATGGACCATGAACATGTATGTCCATAGATTTAAACTGAGCAATGGATTGTGGACTTCTGGTATCCAATATTTAAGACAAAATAAAATTTTTACAATAGGTACACGAATCGTGTAGCATAATGCGTTCAGCGCCATTTGTAACAAGGGACTCGAAAAACGAGGCTCGATATAGTCCACGAGTTATATGTCAAATGGTGACGCAATATTCTTATCTGTAGAGCATGCGCAATAAATACCTCGATGTAGACTGGAATAACCAGACGCTAGAGATAATCATTCCAAAGAGACTTCTGGCGTATTTCGCCGAACATAACTGATTTGAAATTAGAGTGAAAACGGAAACGATTGAATGAAAAGTAGTTTATATACATTCATATTATATTATTATATGCGTTGCGACCTATTTGTGTCAATTTCTATTTCCCAATTATTTGCGATTTAGTGCCTTTAAATTACAAAAATTGGTCTAAAAGCATAAAATAATGTAATATAATTGCATATAAAGTGATATATTCAATTTTTAAAAGAAAATATTGTGATGTCTGCCTGATCAATTAATTCAGGTGAAATACGTCCACTCGACACAAACTAGGTCATTTCGGAACTAACATATGGTTTAATTTTTTTTTTCAAGAATTCGCTTGTGCGTAGGGGTCTTTAACAGTGGGAGGAAACCGGAGGACCCGGAGAAAACCCACGAAGATGGACAGGCGACCCTACTCCTTGTCACGTTCAAGCGGGGATTCGAAACCACGCCAGTAGACTCAGTGACAGGCTTTATGATACAGCGCGCACGTGCTAACCATTCGGCCATACAAGATAATAACATCAACATTGATTGAAATGGACCAAGATTGAATTCTAATTCGTGTTTTTAATTCGAATGGTATGGAAATTTTGATTTAGAGGTTTAGAGCCTTTAATGTTGGATTTAAACAAGATATTCACAGATTACTCGCATCAGTTGAGTAAAGACTTTTAATCAAGAGTCGAGTTACTATACCCCTTCACTCATTTGTTGCATGATAAGTTGGATTCTGCAGTTTCCTCAATGTGAACACAACGGAAGACAGCCAACAACCTCTAGAAGTTTAGTAGTTCAAATCAAAAATAAGAAAACAGAGGATAGGACCACTGTCTTCCAGACAAGTAGATGACATATGAACTGCGGAAATATAGTCTCTTTATTTTGATATATTGTTGATTTTTTAGAACCGTGAGTTATTTGGCTTTTATAGAATGCTACTGGTTGAAAATTTTAATCATAAAGTAAAACACATCCCAAAGAACAATTTCAGCTTACTTAAAAAGCATAGCTAAACATGAAATAATCGTAAATTCAAATTTGAATTGAAAAGTGTAATATTCACTAACCTTGCTCTGATTCCCTTTAAACACAGCATGTTATTATTCTGCTAAAAACTCCTGTTGTCGGGTTTCTATACTGGGATATGTAGTTTATTTACATTGGATTCCAATCTGTACTCTAATGGAATGCAAATTATAAACGTTTGTTTTCAAAGCAATCCTTCAAGATCTAGTTCCCTTTTATCAGCCACCTCGTATTTTAAGATCTGTCGATCAGTTGCTGTTGAAAGTGCGATCAAAATATGGCGAAAATGTTTGACTAAAATAATAATGTATTTTTATGGATCCGGAACATTGAACACAATTAAGTCTCTGTTTTAAAGCCATTGATTTTTGTTTTAAATGTATGATTAGCACTCATGGGAAGTTTACTGGAAAGATATCTCTCTACAAATTCATAATTTATATATTTGCATTATACATTTGTTTATATGTGTCATTATACAATAATGTTTTGTATTAAAGATGCATTATGTAAGATTTAGATGGGTTAACAGTTCGCGCTATAATGTGGCACTATAGGTACGGTTACGTCGTGACTATCCTTCGTCATGGCACTAAAAAGGAATTAGCTGTGACATTATCGTCAAGGACTTTCTTTGACTTCGCGTTGTAGGATCAATTTCTTCAATCATCTGTTAAATGACTCTGGAACACTGTTTATATTGTTACAAAGTTTATGTCACAAATACAGAAAACTACAATGATTAAATACAGGAAAACTACAACATCTATTATAGATACTTTAGGTGTTATTAAAATAAATATCCACGGTCTGAGTTTAACATTCTTTATAACTCTCACCTAACGGCTTAAACATCAAAATTGGTCTCTATTCCAGCCTCTCCGCCAAGGGGGCTGTGGGTATGACGTTCCCCTAGGAACACACGGTTTATATCTTCTCTACGGTCTAATCATGATGTCTAAGGGTATATTAAACTCGATTTCTGCTATATAGAAGTATAAATGCGTCAGCGATTAGGGCTGGACAATTACCATTTTTGTTTTTTTCGTATGGGCACCGTTTTACGTCAACCGTATTCTATTATATGGACTAATCTGTGCACGAGATTCCTGGACGATAGTAACCTCCTTCTAGAAATGGATACTGACATAACTGTCGGTGTGGTAGTCTAAGAAAGTAGTAGAATAATGCAAGTTATTTCATTACCCTAGTTTTCGTCACACATCATGTAGGTAACGGATTTCAATATGAATCAGAACATCTTTTTTAGAACTAAAATAACCCCTAAAGTATTACAATAATAGCTATACATAGATAATGAAAAGGGAATATGTTGAAAATTTCGGTTAAATTACTTCATTCTGAGCAGACTTAAGGTCGATTGAAGAACAGTGTAGTCTCGATTGTCATTGATATCGTTATTATGATAATTAGTCTCGATTAACCAACTTTTAATTAACTTTCGGTTAAATTACTTCATTCTAAGTGGGCTTTGGGCAGTGGTTTAATTTCAATAATTCTCTTGCGCGTAGGGCTCTATAGCAGTGGGAGGAAACCGGAAGACCCGGAGAAAAACCCACGAGGTTGGACATGCCACCATTCTCCTTGTCACAACAACCGGGGACTCGAAACCACACCAGTTGACTCACTGACAGACCTTATGATTCTGCGCGCACGTGATAACCATTCGGCGATTTAATCCCGCAGGGCCGTTTGATAACAGTGTAGTCTCGATTGTCATTGGTATCTGATATCTTTGTTACCATAATAAGTCTCGATTATCCATTTTGTAATTAATTTTCGGTTAAATTATTTCATTCTGTTCTGAGCGGTCTTAAGGCCGTCTGAAGAACAGTGTAGTCTCGATTATCATTGATATCTAATATCTTTGTTAGGATAATAAGTCTCGATGATCCATTTTTAATTAGATTATTATTAATATTATTATGTTAAGATTAAATGAAATGAAATGAAATGGGGTTTAACGTCCTACTGTTCTGCTCCGACTTGGCTAATGAAGACGGGCATACGATATACTGAGGGAAATTTTGCCCGGGCAGTGGCACTATGGCCTACTCTGATCTCGAATTCCAATTGCCAAAGGATCTTAATCTTACACACCAATGAATACAGGGGATCTCGGTTTTTCGTACCATCCGAACGACTAGTCAGCTGTCCTTGTCAGGCCCTCCGTCCTTCAGAACTGACAAGTGGAAACCACTTTCTCGGCCAACTAAAACTTTAATTCCATTGGCATCGCAAACAAACTATGAAGGGAAAAAATCCATTTATTTAAAGAACTAGTTCATCGTACTTGCATTATAAAGAAATCTATAATATGTTATACATTTGTAATGGCATGTATATAATTATCTTTCCTAAAGATATGTAAAATGATATGATACACAGATTACAAAAATATAGCAGTGCGATTATTACATTATGTATGATGAAACTATATTTAAAAAGGGTTTGTGGGTGCAACGGTTTTCTTTTGAAATCTTTACCCTTTTATTATAAACTTTATTGGCAATACAGTTCAGTAGGAAAATATACTGAAAGTTAACAGACAAATATAATAGCAGATCTTACAGAAGACCATTAGAGTCAATCAAATGTAATTCTGAAAGTTTACATTCAAATATAATACATGGTTTTACGGAGGACCATTAGGGTCAATCAAATGAAAAATAAATTATAATTATTATATTACACGATAATCATAATATTTCTCTTCATTTAATTGACGCTAATGGTCGTCCGTGCAGATAAGATACACCACTGCAGAAATATAAAATTCATTATGGCAGGTAATATGTTAATAAATAATTTTATAGTTTCAAAGTGATTTTATAAGAATTGTAATATTCTATTAATAAATCTATTTTCTTTGTTTTTTTAAAACTATCCTGTATTTTAATTCTTCGGTAAAGACCTTTAGGTCATCAATTGTTTTAGATTTTTAGTCAGATATGTGTTAATTTTGTATATTGTAAATGAAACGACGATTAACAATTGATAGATCCGGAATAAAATTTTGTAAATTGTGTATGATAGTTTAATATATGCAAAATAAAATTGTTTTACGCCTAGAAAATATTTGTTTTTTAATCATAAATTTTTGGCGGATAAAATATTATCAATTTTTTTATATAAA